AAGACCTCTTTGATATCTCGTTTATCCCAGGCAGGCCAAGATGTCTCTAGCCATGCTAGCGCCGCCCAGTGCGACAGCGCATTGTATAAATAGTCGCTTCTGTTGCTCCGGGGAAGCTGTTGATTTTCAACCACGTTAGACTTGCCCATCACACAAGTAGTTTATGGGGAAAGAGGAGGGCGGGTAATGGGGCTGCTAATTTAGTTTAGAGCCGCCCCCTAATTCACTCAGGAGAAAGGTATTAAAATATGAAACTCGATAATTAAGAAGCTTTGTCAAATAAATAAATAAAACCAACCTGTGAGTTTGACCAGAAACCTATCTGCGCAACCCCCGACGCGGCCTTGATAAATTGGCGATTTGCGGAGGCATTCCATGACCCGGCTTGGGCGGTAACATGATACCTGCGGCGATGATGGGATTTAATTGCAGTATATATATATATATTAGATGAGTGTTCGTTGTTCCCACAGAAGGTATTGGCGAATTTTCGCCTTAAATTACAATGAAACTTGATGCACTCTGTATTTTTCAGTGCACAAATCTTAACTTTTGAGTACGTTCGAGTGAATGTCACTATAAGCTAGTGCTGTAAGGTATGTACCACCCTGACTTCCACGCAGCGACATTCGCCGTGAGCAGCTCATCGTTGCTTACCCGGTGTGACTGTGAATGCGCAGCAAAGTTTGATTGCATACTCGATATGGCCGCAGGGGCCATGGCCCCTTACGGGTGTAAAGAGTAGGCAAACCCGCAACACTTCTGCGTATTCACAGTTACACCCGGTACAGCGCACTCTCTAAGTGCCGATTTCTTAAATTCAAGACAGGACCTGTTAAATTCAAGAAACCTATATTTTACCGTGTGAAGGCTCAGAGTCAGGGCCAGAACGAAGACGAGCAGTATCACTTTGTTTGCCATAGCTTGTAGGAGAAGTACCTTTAAGAAAACTTGTTTGTTTTCACCTATATATATACAGATGAAAATGCGCTCTGACTAGAAAAACACGAACATTAAAAACCGTTATCTTAACTACCGTTAACTACCTAATAGTACTCGGAAACCGCCTCCCACGCGCATGGCTTCCTAAACGTGTCGTGATGTATTTACTGACAAGGCGTCAGGCTACTAATTGTTGACTCAATTTCGTTGGGTTTGGCAAGTACATTATTCCTTGTGCTTACACTGTCAAAAATTTTGAACTAAAGTACAACGAAAGCACGGTAGGTCCCAGGAGGTAGAATACAACATCGTTAAAATTTTTAGCAGATGATACTTCCAGTATCACTGCTTGTACAACAGCTAAATGGGTAGCGTTGGCGATGGTCACCAGTGACCACATTGTGATCACCAACCAGCATGGCTCAGCATTGTCAACAATACTAACAATACTAGTACTACGTATTTCGGAAATCATGTATGGACACATCGAAAGGTAGTTGTTGCCTCTTCGAAATTGCGCATAGTCGACATAGTCGGCATGCAGTGTGAT